AATGCATGGAGTATTGCCCTTGGTTTAGTCACTTTTGGCAAGCCAATGTAGTACTGAAATCGTTCCAAACATGTATCAAAAAGACTTGTAATAATCAAAACACCCATGTGCAAAAATTTGGGACAATTTGGCCTACAAGCATGTTTTTCCCAATCTACACAAAAACCTACATTTCTAAAAAAATGGCTAATGCGAATTGTGATCTCTTAAGGCCTTTGGAAATCTCTCTCAATAAACTTCAAAATTGTGCTTTAAACTTCTAAAAATGATGTTGGTATCATAAAAATATCATGGTCTGAAGTTGAGGGAAAAAAAGTGATTTGAAGGCCTGTGCCTCGCGCACGTTCCTGGCTTGTATGGTGTGCATGAAGCCAGTATTGAGACACCAACTTTGAAGCATTATAACTCATTCCTTTCTTGGTTATTTTGGATGATTCCAAATTCAAAAGAAATCTTATACAATGAACAACATAATGCCCCTTTTAGAATTTCCAATTGAGACTTGAATCAAAAGAACTTAAGCCATGGAAATGGCACACCGGGTGTTTGACAAAATTATGCGCTTAGCAACCAAGTCTGCCCAGCAAGATTCCTGCCTTGCACATGAAACTTCCAAGCCATTTTTCTCTCAAATGGTTCACAATTAAGCTTTCTACACACATTTACAAAGTTGAAGAATTTTTCACAAGCTTTCTGAATATGTACCATTTGCTTTAATCAGATTAACCAAACTCAAGTTGTGATTGGCCAAAGTTGTATACTATGGATACTTAGGAATTTTCAAAGATTCAAATAACTTCATGAACAAGTAAACCCTAATTTCTTCAATTCCCTTGATTTAATGATGAAACTATCCATGAAATATGAAATGAGGATGTTTGAATTGAGGGTTGACCAAAAGTACCCTTGGTCAACTTCTGATTTGTTGACTTTTGGTCAAAATGACTATTTTTCTCCTTGTGATCAACTAACTCCTTTCTAATCAAAATTTCACCTCAATATTTCAATCATAGATGCTTAATAACATAGAAACACATGGAATCAATCTTGAATAAAAAATTTGAAGAACTTCTGATTAAATCTAAAACCCTAATTTTGTCGTTTGTATAGGAGGAGGATGCTTAAGCTTCAAAACCCTAATTCCACTAGACCTTATTGATAAATTCTTTGAACAAAGTTGCCTCAAGTGATAATAAGAAGATAATGCTTCAAGAAAATGACTTAGACAAGTTTTAAGTCACACAATGGGTCAAAGCCCTAATTTCAGCAGATGGAGGAGACAGATGGATTCCTCTTCAAATCTTTGCTATATTTCAACTCTTGATAAATCAATGAGACAAATGAGATATCGTGAGACATGAGAGATCCTTGGGACTTGAAAGATCCAGAGGTTAATATAATAAGGCTCTCCTTGAGCAACTTGTCAATACAATCAACTTCCAAAGCTTGAGGAAGACTTGATAACCAAAGTACTTTGATCGCATCACAATGTATGAATGTAATACAATATGATGTTTATGATAAAATATAAACCTAAATCAAGAGGGTAAATTTTGGGGTGCAACATAGAGGTATGTGGCAACTAAAAAATCATCATAATAAGAGAAACCCGTATTATTATAACTACAACACACAAATTGAATATGTATCACATACCAAATGAAGATAAACTAAAGTTGGCATATGCGCCTAGAAATTTGTACTCGTAAAAGTACATCAGTGATGACTTTACTAGTGATGATTAGTAAAGTCGCAATCAAATGCTCTGTGAATTATCTATACGCTTTTCCTTTGTGATTGTCTTCTTATATAGTTGTTCTGACCAATTTCAAAATTAAAGTCCATCAGAGACCCTTTAAGGTGATTGTCCTGATTAGTGTAGTCTTTTAATGGTAAATACATATTATAAGTGGGAGACTGTCATATCTAAACACCCAATCAAAATAGATTGAATAAGTTGTTAGCCATGACTCTCTGCATTAGAGCTCTCACCTCTTCTGCAATAATAAGAAACAAAAAAGGGATAAGAGGATCTCTTTGTTTTAGCTCTTCTTGAATAAAATTTCATCCATAGAAAAATCGTTAACCAACGTCGATGTAATTCTTGCAAAAATACAAGTACGCGTCCACAATATTCTCTTGACTAAACCTAAATTTGACTAACTTATATCCACATAATCATATGCTCATTCAAAATTCACCTTCAAAATTAAAAATTTCTTACTTCTTTTCTTCGCAAAACCAATGAAGCCATTAAATGCCAGTACATTATTTATTAATTGCCTCCCTTTAAAGAAAGTTTAATGTGTAGGAGAAACAAACTTCTCTAATACCTTTGCCAATATCGTCGTTAGAACCTTGTCAATCTATTATCTATCTATAAAAATCTAATTACTTGGAAAATCATGTTTAACCCCTCTGATTAAAGCTTAAACTAAACTAAGGTTATGGGTAAAAATGACTTATTGCACTAATACTTGATTTATATGCATTTAGCAATTAATGAGGCTGATGTGTCATATTATATTTTTTCATACTTTTTTAATTTATTTTAATCACAATAAATTATCAATGTTGTGGGTCCAATGTAAATCATTAGTATACAAACCATTCAATATTAGCATGCATAGCCGTTCAACACAATATTCAAAGGCCATTGAAGTACAATAGTGCACACAACTTCCCAGAGTTGCTTCTCGTTAACTGCATCATTTCGTATTCACTTTTATTTCCTCCTATAAAACCCTCAAATATGTCAATCAATGTCAGCTTCTCCTCTTCATCATTCACATCCGAAAACTCAATTATTAGTCCATTCTTCATCTTTCAACTGCGCACGATTTCACCATCTATAACCTTTCAAGATTTTTGTTTTTCTTTAAACACAGTTTAAGCATATTTGTTTTTATTTTCAGGTTAACAATCAATTCATGACTTGTCCAATTGAATCTGTCAAGGATATTAACGAATCAAAGGATTTATAGAAAATAGCAGTTAGGTGTAAACATATGTGGTCTGTGACCAGTGCTTCAAACAAAGAACACATAGAGTTGATATTGGTTGATTCAAAGGTATGAAATTTGGGTTGTCCTCTCTTTTTCTCTTTGCATGAGGAAATTCAAGCCTAACTCTATCGAAAAGGCTTTTAACTGATGCAGTAGAAGAGATTGAGAGTGTTCAACTTTCCTCAATCAAGTTAACTAAAGAAATAAAAAAGGAGAATTAATTGCATGCACCTGCTTTACATTCTTAGATGTCTGATATTTTTTAATCCAAAGACAATTTTATTGTTAAAGTTTTTTTTGTTGCTTTTGTTACTTTTGATCCGTCTGGATTCAATGGTTGAATTCAAATATATTGATTATGTTTTGACTTATTTAGGCGCAACTACTATAATGTTTAAATGATGGAAAGTTTCTTTATATTACTGTCATATTTTGCAAAGTCTAATATTGACTTTGTTACTTGAAAAAAATTAGAAGCCATCAATAATTTTTTATCAGTCTCAATAATTTTTTATTTTTGGCTGTACTGATTTTAATGCTTCAACCCTTATCTCTGCTCACATAAGTAAAATAACATATGCAACCATACATGATTTCAGTAATCATATATTATAACATTATGTTTATGACTTTATAAATCAGAACATATTTGTTATTTGTTTTTTACAATCTATGCTTTAAGTTAGAAATTAATTATTATAAAACACTTTGTTATTTGTTTGATTACAATCTTGATGGGTCAAACATGTAAACCATAGCCAGTTAACATCCCTGTTTTCATATACTTCAACTGTCTATTAACTTTACTTTTCTATTGATCACAAGCCTCAACCATTCTTCCTGTCCCCTAACTCATTTAGATATGTTAGCATATCCACATCAAACTTCATTTGAGTGCTCTGACAGGTACTTAGCCTAAAAGTTACATTGATAAACTATTGAAATAACTTATTGACAGATACTTTGTATTTCATACATGGTCTTTATACACTAATGAAATCGTTTGAACCAAAAGCTTTTCAATATGAGAGATGACATCTTCAACGCTTTCTTCAATGAAGCTCTTTGATACAATACAACAATTAACATAAAGTAAACTTCCGCATTAAAAGCATGTCCATGTTTCTTGTGTCAATATTCATTTTTGTTTAAGTTCCCAAAATACTACTTATTAATGGGTTTTAATCTCATTAATAACATCAACCCTTCGTCCAGATTTCATGTCAGAACACCACTATCTAATATTACTTCTGCATTGATGAATGAGAGAAACCAGAATTATAAGAGAAAGAAAATTGGAACTGTTATTTCAAATGCACAGAGATTGAATGTTGGTGTGAATCAGTGTGTGTCTTCCAATTTCTAAATATTTTGGTTTGGAGAATCAAAATGCTGCTTCTTCATCAATATATAATATCCAAACACCAACCTCTGCATATGGCAGCTCCAATTAAACAATTTTTGTGTTTGTATTTATTAGTACCATTTTAAACTCGGTGTTTCGTGTAAAAGAAATTGATGCTGCTGCTGTATATACAATATGTAATAAATTGCTTCTGCTGTTTAAATTTCATGGTAACCCAACATTATCAGAGGCAGATTAACAAATGCAGTAATGTTTTTACAAAACATTACATTTTTTCAAAATTAACTCTATTAATGTGTTGGAAGTAGTATTTAAATTAAAAAAGAAACAGATACAATTGAAAAAATAATAATTACTGTATTGAAAAGTAAAAATGACAATTATTTTAAAATAAATTTTATTTATTAAAACAAAATTTATTTTGAAACGGATGAAGTATTATTTGATTTAAAATAGTATGGATTTTGATTGAATTATATTATCTTACATTTGATATATATGAAGGAACTTTTCAAAGCATTATTATACCAAATAGTGTGAGATCAAGACGAGACTCGTACTCGAACATGTTTCTTAGTAGTAAGGTTATAAAAACACCTAAAGAGATAGGTTTGAAATCTTTGAAGACTTTAAGAGATTTGACCATCAACATTGAGAATACGACAATAAACACTTCGGAAGCCTAACATATTCATGGTATAAACTATGTCACCAGTTGATGTATAAGAAGACTTCTCATACATTTCAAAATTTGATTTTGCAAGCAATTTCTTACTCCAATCACCATACCCTTTAACATCTTCTTCCTCTTTCATTAATTGACCTTGTCTCAAGAAAGAACCATTACTAAGATTCTTTTTAGAGGCAAAGTTTGAAGAAGCTTTGGCAGCCATGATATCCATGCGACTAGGGTTATTTATGGTATGGTTAGTGAGAAAATTGAACGGAATCGAATTAAATCATAGTAAAAATTTCTTCGAATTCAACCAAATTATTTTAATTTATTTAAAATCGAACTGAACCACAATCATTGGTTTAATATACCGTTTCGGAATTCAAACCTTACAAAACTGTTACAAGTTAATTTTTCCGGAACCAAATCATTTATTAAAAAACCAAACCGTTAAACTATGTTTTTTTTTTTTTTTTTTAAATTATAACTTTTTTTTTTTTTAGTATTTTTCATTTTCAATTTTGTTTCGGTTACAATTTATAATTTATGTTTGGTTCGGTTTCAGTTCGGTTCTAACAACCCCACATGAGCCCTACACGAGCTCTACATGAGACTCTTGAAAACCTTTAAAACAAGATCAACAATAGAAGGTTGAAGATGAAAACCTCCTTCAGCATTTGTTATAATGGAATCATTATTGCTATCCATGCACCCCCAAGTCTGTTCAGAATGAAGTGAATTTGTTTGTTGAGCTATTTTGTGAATTGGACTTTTACCAATTCCATGGATCCATGTATCTCCCAACTCAATCTTGTTACCATCAAACTTTGAAGTGTTGATTCTTCAACCAACTCTTGTTCCACCTTCAACAATACAAAGTTCAAATAAGTCTTTTGAAGTTGAAGTAAAGAGCTTGTTTACTGCTGTTAAGCTGATTTGTTTTGAAGATTTACTTGATTCTTTATTCTCTGTTCTCTTCTAGGTTGCGAAAACAAAAAAGCTTTCATGGACTTATTTGAACTTGGTAGAATTGCAGATAGAAAAGAACATTATACAGCAAATAAGTGAATGGCAGAAAGATGTCCTACTAGAAAAGTAATTTCATCCAAAGATTTGACTGTTATATATTCTTAATTCTTAACTAGCGTCCTCTCCTTGGCCAGATTCAGACAAGGTTAAACCTTTTCAATTTCTGATAATCTACGCATATTTTGGTCGGTCAATTAATGGTGACCCCTCAAGCAAGGACACAAAATCAATGTCAATATCCATCAATTTGCATGAAAATAAGCAGAAAACACACTCGTGGAACGTATATCTTTGACAAGCGATGCATAATAATACAAGAAAAACACAATGTACACCTGAAAATAAACAATTTTTTAAACTAAGTAATCTGATTATCAGTCTTATAAAAGGTACAAAATTTTGCATTTTCTGTATCAGTACTATGCAAGCTTGATAGGTGGTCAGGATCCAGTTTGATGTCGGTCAAAATAATCATCATGTACAAACCTCTACCGCATCTCAATATTTCTAATAATGCACGGTTCAACTTGCAGAGATAATCAGACAACACTGAATGCTGACTGTAAGGTAGACGAGAACTGAGAGGCAATTGTCTGAGAGGCATATTGTTGAATCTGCTTCTTAGCATCTGAAAGAAAGGCAATCAATTGTTATCCATTGCAAGTTTTTCAAATGAACAGCACATAAAGATGAAACAGTAAATTGATATGGTAATCGATCAACAAAGAAATCCTTCATATTGGATAGGAAGACAGAGGAGGCAGAGCTTGAGCAGAATCACTAATTTCAAAATGTGATGTGAAGCTAGGCTTAGACAACGTCCTACACAGCATGTATGTGCTCCCCATATCTATATCATTTGAAATGAAACACAGACGAAAACAAGAGGACCCAAAGTTCCCAATCCCTCACTATTACAAGGGTCATATTGCATTTCCACTCCAAATAAGTTTCTTGTTAGTTAAACAACCCCACTCCAACTATTTCTATTACTACAACAATGGAGATAATAATAGCACCCTTTAATTTTCTAGGAATATAAACTGATGGGAAGCCGAAATTTAGAGATAAAACAATGGAAAATAAAATATATTTGACTAATGAAGAAAGTAAAATTGTAGAAGGGAATGAATCCGAAACTACCCCAGAGCTAAGCTCTTCAGAGAAAAATCTTTCCCTGCCTAACCATATTGATTCCCTCAATATTCTTGCATCACAAACACAATTCACTCAACTTAAGTAACTTACTATTTCTACTATTAAGGTATAACAAACTTGCCAGCTAAGCATCCTACTTCACTATTTATTTACTATACATCCTTACCAAACTCATTATTACATAATTCCCCCACTTTCCTTATGACCTCTACTCGGGTCTCTATCATAAACTGAATGTGTGTGTACTAATGCTTTTCGAGAGATAACCACCCAAATAAGCACAATGAATGTTACCAGCCACAAATATAAGAATGCAGCTAACAAAGCATCAATAGCATAGAACTCTATAGGTATACAATATATCAGCAACCAAAGCATCTTTGAACCAACTTTATCACAGCCCAACCATAAGAAATTTTTCAATAAGGTTATCAAACTAGTCGAGTCGAGTTCAAATGTAATTTGCAAGTACAATCATAAATTTCCCATTTGGTTCATGCATTTATAAGTCAAGTATCCCCATATGTCAACAACTTTCCACGAAGTAAGCAGGATGCAGCAAATTATATAATTTTGAATATTTCAAAATGAAAAAAAAAAAGAAACAAAGTGAAACAAGTATCCAAAGTTTAGCACTGAAAAGTTCAATATCTTGTTATTCCAAACAATTTCCCCAACCTAAACCAATTTTGCAGTATAACAGAAGACAACATTTTAAGAACATAAATACATTTGCACACCTTTTTTGCATTTGGTAAAACCAACAATATTTGCAATGCTGAGGGTCAAACAAACTCCTACAACAAGGAGATAATCAGCCTGAAGCCTTATGAGCGAGAATATAGCCAACATAATCCATGCAACTGCCTGTAGAACAAATCAAATAAAAAATCATTTATTGTGCCAATCACCAAAGAAAACAACCATGCTTTTATTGATTTTGGCCACGTGTGGGCAATCAAAACTACAAGATAAAACCTTGGCGTGATGATTGACAGAGTAATTCTCCATCCAGATCCAAAGTGAACGGAGAACTTACAACTTTAGTTAGAATACTGCAACTTATTTAGTAATACCAATTCTCCTAATACAAAGCAATGTATAGTATAATATACACATCCAGAATAAGTTTGATCGGGTCATAACATTACATATATATTAACCAGCTTAATAAAACTCCCGAAACAACCACATTTTGACTGTAACACAATAAGGACCTAAGGAGAAACTGAACATGCTATAACGGATCTATAAATTTCTTACCGAAATGTAAAGGGTCCACCAAAAAAGCCATGAATCTTTCTTGTTCATCCGAGCCAATGACTACAGAGGAGAAAAAAAACATACACAAGATTCATTCATTCATTCATGCATGTATAAAGAATTCAAAACCCATCTTACACTAGTCATGTTCAAAACAAGGAACACCCACCTCTTGATCCAGACACTCAAATTTCCAAACACTCTCACCAAGATCATCAATTTCATTCCACCATCTCAAACCAACTAAAATCCGTCCACTCACATTCTTAACAACCCAAAAATCAAGAGCAGCAAGAAGAACAGTCACCACAAAAATGATAACAAAGTTATCAATAAAGAGAGCCGATAGAATGTAAAACGCCAAAGCCGCACCCTGTCATAAACATACAAAATACATCGAATTTCACAATGCGAAACCTAATTATTTCATAAAAAGATGAAAAATTCGTAGAAAAACGAGTAAAGTATAAACCTTGAAGAGAACATGAAAGAAGCAAGTCCTTGGATTTGCGTAGTTTTCAACTACAGACTGCACGCAATCACACAAATCTTACATGAATCGATACAGAAAATGAAATCATTGAAGAAATGGAAATCCAGATCTAAGAATGATGGGAGAAAAACTTTAGTTACCTGGTTGGGATCCATGTGTGAAAAGGAGAGCTTGTGAGGAATCAAAGACGACGGAGCATACCAGATCTTATACTCACCGGAGATTTTTTCAGAGCGAACTTGGTTCCTTTCCGATCCAAAAGTGTGTTAGATTTGCGATTAAAAACGTGACGTATTGTTTACCCCCTCCTACCTTTCTATGTTTCTTGCTACGGACTAAGGGCTCTTTTTCTTATTTGTTTTGTTTTTTTATTATTTAAAGATGTGCACACAAAAATTTTAAAATTTATATATAATATAATTAATTAAGTTCTCTTTTATATATATAATAAAGAGGTGACGAGTTCGGTTCTTAGGTGAGAATAACGTTTGGTCAGTGTCTATACCTCTCGGCATAAACTCTGAATTATTAGGGCATCTTTCTCCTAAAAGTCAGAGTGTTAAAGAAAAAAAAGTGAAAAAAAGTGATGTTTATTGTGGGGATAATTAATCCTTTTTCATTATAGGAAAGTGACAATTTTACCTCCACTTGTAAATTTTGACTAGTTAAAAAATATACTAAAATATATTAAAAAAGAGAAAGGAAGACAACAAGATGGGCAAAACCAAATTCTTAAAAGACTTTGAATTTATAGCTTGACATATCAAACTTATCTTTTTCAATACGTGGTTTAACAAAAGGTGGGATGATGGACCAATAATGGAGGTTTAGAAGAGAGTGTCAACGGAAAGCCAAAGCATCAGCGGTAGCATTTTTCTCTCTGAATGTGTGAGAGACAATGAGTTGCATGGAGCTAGCATATGTAGCATTGTTTGTCCATTTATTTCTCAAGCATCAAGGTATGATTGTCTTGTTCTTGAACGCCAATAAAACCAGTTTAGAGTCGGTCTCAAGCCATAACTTTTGAATTTGCAGATGATGAGCTAGCTCAATAGCATGAAGGGCTTTAAAGATCTCAGCAAAGAAAGTTGACTTTTGGCCTAGTGATTCTGCGAAATCACCAATAAAATCAACTTTATCACTTTTGAAAATACCTCCACAGTTGGCCATGACGTTGGTGGAAGCTCCATCAACATTACATTTGACCCAGGTCAAAGGAGGAGGAGTCCAAAAGGCTTATGTAATTGTCAGAGCTCTAGGAGGGTGGATCTTGATAT